CAGCAGGAAATAGCACATGTATTTGCATTTCCCTCTGTAATCTAATTTGCTAGTTTGAGGATGGGAATTTTGGTCAAAGATTGCAAACTTTAAAGTTGTGTGTACTGTAAGCAAGTGCTGTTTCTTAGTGAGCACAAGTGATTTCTCCCTTCTATCTGAACAAAGTTGTGTAATTTTAACTTCTCATCCTCGTCTTAAATTTAAACTTATCCTAGCTGTTGTCACGTTTAAAGGAAAGGTGAGTTTACCTTAGGTACAGATGGGAACTAAGGAATTTATTCAGTCCCTTTTTATAACAGAGTGGCTCTAGAAGTACACTTTCACCTTTTAGAACTGTGTGTTATGTTATGAACAGGAAAAACAAGGTAGAAAGTATGTGTGACTTTCATTAAGTCCCAGTGGTGAAATGCAAATAGATAATAACTTTTAGGTGCTATGGAAAACACTTTCTTTGTGACATTGAGTAGGAAATTATTTTATTAAATTTTGATTTTGTGATAGGAATGTGTCTGAGATAATCCAAAAGATATGTTGCCAGTGAGCCTGTGGCAACAAAATCTAGACAGCTTTAGGCAGAAGTGATGCATGCCTTTTTCTGTATGCCACAGGTGGGAGACTTACCAGATGCAGAGGTCAAGCCACCAGAAAATGTACTGTTTGTTTGTAAACTGAATCCTGTGACCACAGATGAAGACCTAGAGATAATATTTTCACGATTTGGTCCCATTAAAAGGTAATTATTTTACTGACTTTTTTTGTTGAAACTGAACTTGATTACTGCCAGTCTATTTAGATTGAACTGTTAAGTAGTATTCTGGTGTCTCTGGAGATTTATCCTGTGCCTGTATGTTTTTGGATAGAGACCACGACAGTCAGATCTAGCTAGCTGAGTATGCTGTCCTAGCACTGGTTTTTAAGTGAAAGCCTACAGAAGTGTAGGAACAAGGAAAGCATGTGATAATCTCCCCAGCCCTCTGTCCTCTCCCTCCTTTCAGCAGTTTTATCTCAGATGCTACATAAGCTAGGTACACTCTCTTAGTTTTTGTCTTCCATGGGATTGTGTATGTTTTTGAGATAAATGACAAACAGTTCTGCCATCCAGTACACTAATTGTTGAAGTGTTCCTCCTGCCTACTGCCTTTTTCATCTTTGAATTCGGCTCCTAGTTTCAATTTATTTCTACTAGTACTGGTTTCAAAAGACTCTATTCTGTACCCCAAAGTTATATTTTTATTGCTAAGAGTACTAGCCTACCTACTCATGCTTTGTAGAGAAATTTTCCTTACCTTGCTTCACTATTCTGAACCTTTTTCTGTTATTTTGTTTTCCTCTCAAGATGGGAGGACCAGAACTGCACAGTGTGAAAGAAATAACAGATTTACAGTGGCACAGCCATATTCTTTGATTTGTGCTCAACCTTTTCTAGTTAATGGTTAATGCTAGAGCTTTTTTTTTTTTTTCCTTTACAATGTACAATTTGGATTCCCATCCCCATGCTCATCTTGTTGCATTTATCTTTTTTGAATGTAGTTCACTATCTTGTTGTACAGCTGTTCTCTAAGAACTTTCTGCAGTTTTTTCATAGTTTATTTTTGCCACCTGTAATAATTTTAGTATCATAGGTAAAATCCACTGCTGTCCTCTTTGTTTTCTCAGTGAGAAGTGACTGTTTACTCTCACCTGGTCTTTCACATGTTTATCAGTGCAAAGATGTTTCATCTACCATTGCTGCTTGGTTTCCCTAAAAAGCCTTTGGTGCAGGAGTTTATTAGCATTTCCAGTGGGATTTCAAAAGACTGCATCAAATAGATCATTATCACACATAAGCACGTGTATTCTTTCAGAGAACTTATGTTTATTCAGATGGTCCTGAGCAGGTCCTGTTTATTCAGATGCACACCAACTCTTCTGCATTGATTTTCTGCCAGCTTGTGCAGTACTGGCTTATAGGCCTGCAGATTGCCACATCCTTCACTAGACTGAGTATGTAAGTGGAATTGGCATTGTGTTTGCCACTCCTACAACTCCAGCATGATTTCTGGGTCTTCTAGGGATCTCTTGCACCTTTTTTTTTTTTAAATCTTATCAGTATGTTCAATACCTCTTCTGCAGTCCTTCTGCTTTCAGACAGGTTCTCTGAATAATCCACAAAGACTGGCACAAGACTGTCATAGAAATATAGAATCATCAAGGTTGGAAAAGACCTTCAAGATCATCAAGTCCAAGTATCCACCCTACAGCCCCTAACCACTAAACCATCTTATGAAACACCATGTCTACCCCTTTTTTAACACCTCCAGGGATGGTGCCTCTATCACGTCTCTGGGCAGCCTGTTCCAATGCCTCACCACTCTTTCTCTGAAGAAATTTTTCCTCATGTTCAGCCTGAACCTCCTCTGGTGCAACTTGACCCCATTTCTTCTTGTCCTATCACTGGTCACTAGGGAGAAGAGGCCAACACCCACCTCACCACAACCTCCTCTCAGGTAGTTGTAGAGGGTAATGAGGTCTCCCCTCAGCCTCCTCTTCTGCAGGCTGAACAGCCCCAGCTCCCTCAACCTCTTCCTCAAAAGACCTGTTCTCCAGACTCCTGTTCAGCCCAGTTGCCCTTCTCTGCAACCTCTCCAGCACCTCAATGTCCTTCCTATACTGTGGTGCCCAAACCTGCACACAGTACTCGAGGTGCAGCCTCACCAAGACCAAGTACAGGGGTAAGATCACCTCCCTGGTCCTGCTGGTCACACTATTCCTGATGCAGGCCAGGATGCCTTTGACCTTCTTAGCCATCTGGGCACACTGCTGGCTCATGTTGAACCAGCTGTTAACTAACACCCCCAGGTCCCTCTCTGCTGGGAAGAACTCCTCCCTGAATAGCCTTGTCGTCTTTGTGTGTGTGTGTGTTTTGTTTGTTTGTTTTGTTGTTTTGTTTGTTTTTGTTTTGTGTTGCTCTTTGTGTGTTTGTTTTTGTTTGGTCTTGATCATCTTTTGGATTGTGTATGCTAATCCTGATTTGTCAGTTCCTCAGTACACATGGGAGAAGTCTCACATTATGAAATGTCACCTTAATACTGCATTTCTTGCCTTTGTTGCCTGCCTGACCTCCTTCAAGATCGTGTGGCCAGAATTCTTATGTCAAACACAACCATTTGATAATACTGATGCAGTACTGTACTCTTCCCAATTTCCATCTACTGATTCAATACTTCAGGCTTCTTATTTTTGCCCAGTGAACTGCTTGATAAGAAAATGGTTGTTAAAGAGTTGCTTGCTAAGAAGAGAAAGTCTGTTACTTGATATATGTTTAAACATTCTTTAAAATGACAGAGAAAACAGAATATTAATTTTTTGTCTTGCAATAGTGAAATGCAAAAAATCAGTATCAAACAATAATGTTGGAAAAAAGATTTTGTTTCATTAATCAGAAATTCATCCCTAGTTCTACGCTTCATGTTAACCACTTGTGAGTTAAATGTAAAAATTATTCTAGTAATGTCACATGCATTTTTTTCTATGCAGACACCCTGACATTAGTAGCTGTCTCAGAATCGGGTGTTTTAATACCTTCAAGGTTTTATTGTTGTTGTTTTAATTTTTTATTTTGTAATTGTTACTCTTCCTTTTAAGCAGTGCTTGACTATTCTATGTTTTTTGCTCCAAGACCACTGACATTTTATTTTCATATAATTTTTTCAGCTGTGAAGTGATTCGGGACTGGAAGACTGGTGAATCTCTTTGTTATGCTTTCATTGAGTTTGAAAAGGTATGTGTTTTAGGTATACTGTATGTATATTCTGCTTATAAAAGTTCATGTTCAGTATACTTCCTCTAAGGAAAAGCAATGAAATCTTTAAGTATGGGGTAGCCAGTATTTTCACTTAGTTATAGAAGATGCAGGTTATATCTAAGGCAAACATTTGAGTCTATTCAACCAAGCAATACAAATATGTTGTTCTTAGGTTGTCTTGAAACCAGTGAGAGAGGAGCAGGTATCTTTATTTTTTTTGCCCCAGGGCACATTAGAACTTTAGAGACTTAGAGAAGAGGATGCTACCAGAAAAAGAAGTCAACTGCATAAAGAGAGGAAAGGTGTAAAAAACAAAGTAGATCAATATGTGCAGTGGGGTCCTATGTTTGCCTTGTAAATGATGCTTGTATTGTCAACATGTTGCTCTTACAGTGAGGTTAATAGTAAAAGTTCTCTTGATGATCAGTAGCTTCTTGTTTGTATTTGCAAGTGTCTCTATGAGGAAAGCTGGAAAACTGTTCTCACTTTTCTTTAGCCTACTTAAAATGGAGCTTTTATTAGTTGTCCTTTCTTTTCCTTTTTTTCCTGAATGCATTACATGTGCCAAACACGTAGCTGGATTGACAAATTTTTGAAGTAGTGAAATGAACTGAAGAAAGGGAGTTTGAAATGCTTGCATTTGGGCAAAGCAAAACTACTTCTTTTGATACAGCACAATGCAAGGACTGCTGTTCCTCAGGCAATTTAGGAAAAAAAAGTATGCCATTAAGTAGTTGAGTGTGTGTTTGAGCTCTTCAGTGACTATTCCTATGAAATAATCATGACTCAAAATTTTCTGGAAACATTACTATCAGGAGGAAGACTGTGAGAAAGCCTACTTCAAAATGGACAATGTGCTGATAGATGACAGACGGATACATGTGGATTTTAGCCAGTCTGTTGCAAAGATTAAATGGAAGGGAAAAGGTAGGTACACTAGTGACAATTTGACCCTCATAACTTAATAATCCATGGCTTCTAAATTGTACATATTATATAAAGAGAAGCAGTTATTCTGAGTTTAAATAATCTAATCTTCAGGAATATAATTTTTCCTGGTATTCTAGTAAATAGAGCAACACAGTTGCTGTCTCTTCACTTTCCCTAAGAAAGGGTGGAAAGGTTTTCTACTGTTCTATTAACGTAATATTGCCAAGTATTGTCTCTTTATCAGGTGTATTTTTGGCAGTACATTTTTTTTTTCTCTTAAGCTTGGAAGTTACGGAGTTTTATATCACTTATTAGCAAAATAATGTGGCAGTTACTTTCTACTTTTGTTTCTTTATTGACTGTAAGACAGTTGAGTGTACACAAGAAAACATCAGTATTCAGGCCAGAGATTTCCCTTCTTCACCTCCTGCAGGTCAAGCATATTGCATAGCAGACTGCGTGTTATAAAACCCCATTTCACATGTTTGAGGATGTTGTGGGAGGAAAAAGATGGAGGATGAGGTGTAGATAACAGTGTTTATTTAGTTGCTGGGGATGTGAAGAAAATACTGGACTTGGAGAGGTGACTGTGCATTGCAGTGGTGATGTTCTTGTATGTCTTGGCCTAGAAATGCAGCCAGCCCTCCATTGTTTGCATACGTTTTCTCCAGGCTGGAGACTAGTCATGGACACTGAAGTGCTAGAATTTACTTTACACAGAGCTGAGATGATTTTGTCATCTATACCATGCTCTGCAGTGCATCCTGAACTCACTGACTACACAGAAACCTTTTCTTTATCTGGATAACTTAGGTCTAAATTGTCCTAAATACTGGAAAGCTAGCTACACTGTTATCTTGTTGTGCCTGTATGGTACCCCAAAAGAAGACCTAGAGGAAATACTATCCTTCCACCTTCTGCAGCCGTTTCTGACCGTCAGTTAATATTGCAGTTCTAAGTATGACCGTCAGGTGGCAGCACGTTGCTGTAGAACAGTTTATTACTCTCTGAGCTGGTACTTCTGAGTGAACTGGTTGGAAAATGGTATTGGTCATGTCCCTCTCTAACTCAAGACATGACTGTTTTTTTTAGTTTTCCATCTAAATTTCTAAGATGTAGCTGTCTCAGAGGTTTCACTTTGCGCAGCCCAGAGCAAAAAAAATAATTGAATAATGAGAACAGTCTGTAGGCTTTCATGATAACAGAGTTTTAAGTAGTGTGGCATAGAACCTGTAATCAAGGTAGGACTAGTTGCTAAATCCTGCTTTTTGATCCTGTTCATGCATTGTTTCCACTGGACATGAGTGAGGAGAAAGCCCTGTGGTGTTTAATGACATCTGCAAGCAAGGGAAGGATAGAAAGTCACACCTTGTCCTGTTCTTTTCTACTCACAAGTCAATGTTGATTCTGGATCTGTATCCTGCTATGAATCTCTGTGTGGTTATGAAGAGCCCGTAAGTTTATAAGCAGAACATAGTGATAGGTGTGGATCTTGTTGGTTTTTTTCAGTTGGAGTAAATAGAATCTACTTTTCTGTGCACAGGTGGACGTTATACCAAGGATGATTTCAAAGAGTATGAAAAGGAACGTGGCAAACCTTCAAAACTTACTCTGAAAGAGAAGGTGAAACCAAAGCAGGAGTATCCTTTTCTGGTAAAAGGTATTTTTTGCACTAAGTACAGTTTATGAAAACAGCCTGGAAAAAACTTCTTATTCTTAAAGCTTGCCAAATGTGTGTTTTGCTGCTGCTTGATATAAACATTTGGTGTTTGAGACAGAATTAAGTATTTTGTGCTTTTCAGTTGATGACTTTGATGAATTTAGTCAAATCAGAATGTGCTGTTTCACTTGCATATTTTGTGCAGTTGAAGTTCCCAGTCCAGAGCCCTGGAATGACATGTGGCTTAACAGTGTTTTAAGTAGTTTCACAAGGGACCTACTACATCCAAAACAAGATCATAGTAGTAACTAAATCATGCTCTGCAATTCTACTTTGCTTCTGGTGAGCATGAGGGAAGAGAAGACCATATCTTGTTCATATATCCATTGGTAGAAAAGAAAGATCTGGGACCTGTCTGTACTGTGTGGCAGGACAGAATTCTGTCATTTTAGCACAGGTGATTTTTTTCAATGTGTAGGATTTTGTTCTGGCTGAAATACATAGTAAGTCACGGTAAACTCTGGTCTGATAAACAGTGCACTGTTTGTTTGCTTTGTGAGGTTTTATGTTCTGCTATTTATTGATGCAAAGTAATAGATCTGTCCTTAACCAACACCATCAGTGCCAAGTATGACCTCCTGCTGGATGAGGATATAGAAGAGTCTCAAACAAGTCAGTCACACTTGACTAAAAAACAAAAGAAGAAAAAGCACCACCACTCTGAAGATGAAGAGGATGACAAGAGGACCAAAAAATCTAAGGTACTAACCTCTTCATGCATTAGCTTTATACCCATTTATTGTTATTCTATTAAAAAAGCCAGGAAAAAAAACAAGTCTGATATTGAGCTGAGGACAAAGCAACACCCGTGAAGTACAGCAGTGGTAAATGTACAGAGGGCTGATGTTAATATCTGATTATGACAGAGACTTTCCAGATCTTCCTGGACTTCTGAAGCTTGGTGTGTCTGAATGGCTTTTTGCCAAAACATCCTGGAGAGGCAGTGTAGCCTCTCATAAAGTAGGAGATCTTCAGCACTTTGAACCTGTTGTTCACATATTCCTAGTAGTTAATCATATTTCATGAATGCAAACTATTTCTCGTTTGCTTGCTAGACCATCATGTGTTGACTTTTTCCCATATGGAATCAGGAACAACCTCTTTGTGTATTTATCTTTTTTCTTTTTCCTTAACTGTTTTAGAAGTATTTTTGTAAAGTCTACATGCGGGTTTTCTTGCATCTGTCTTGTGCAAGCATATGGTGCTGTAAGATTCAGACAGTGGAGGACATCATGAGAAGACAGTGGTTCTGTCATTCATTAGTTCTACAGCAGCCTGTTAAGGCAGCAGTCTCATGTATCTGTGAATTCGGGATAGTCAAGATGTTGGCATTTCCTGAAAACAATGTCAGCAGTGATAAAGTGGAGGGTTAACCAGCACTGAAGTGTGATCATTAGGGGGAATTGAACTGAAAAAAAACCCCAAAACCCAAAATGCAGTATTTTAACAATGCAACTTTATGAGTTAGAACAAAGATGTCTTCTAGCAATTTTGCAGAAAGTGATAAGGTTCCAGCTTCAGTAAGTAAAGCCATTGTCCCAGCTTGAGTTTTGAGTACTGCTTTTGAGTTCTGTGTCCACAAGAGCTTGCATGATTCTGTTGTTCCATTGCATCCCTTCTTGCTGTGATGCTAAAAATAACTTTTCTCATTAACGTTAGCAATTAAGTTTTTTCAGTGCCACCAATAAGCCCTAGGGCTCATTTTAGGTACAAGTCTTTTTGCCACTTGTGTGCTAGTTCTGTTGGGAGCCTTTGGGTGGAGGGGAGGGACTTGTTCAGATAATTAAATTCTTGATTGGAGCATATACATGCAAGAGGTCTGAAGTAACATTTATTTAGTCTTCCTCCTGTCTTTCTGGCTGATTGACATTGTCACTTGAACATTCTTGAAACAGTTCTGGAAGTAGTCTTTGTTCTTGATGGTTCAGAACGTACACGTGTGGAACTGGCTTGTCATGCAATATTAGCAGAGAACATTTTAAAATCATACAGATTTCCCTAGCCCTTTAGGTGATAAAACAAACACTGGCAGCAATAGGCTGTTAACCTCTGTGTGTTACAGGTGTTACAAGTGGACTCTGAGACACATTAGCAGAGGATTTCATAGTACAGAGGGATTTCCAGGTTCTGGAAAATAGTCTTTTCCAGTTCTTGACCCTGTGATCTCTTCTATGTCTCTGTATAACATTTTTGTGATTTAGTTGCCTGCTCTTTTTGTGGTTTGTTTCTGTAGTCTGCTGCTGCTGTATTCTAGTGTCGTCTGCTTTCCCACTGCTTTCCTCTCTGTTGCTCATCTTCACCTGTTTTGTTGTAAATAGCTTAGCCTTCTCATGCTCAAAATCACAGGAGGAGGCTTACTCCTCTGATGGCAAGCAACATAGTTTCCCCTTGGAGCTGTGAAAATGAATTTATGGGCAGAACTTTTCTCTGTGTGTGTACTTGGAATATTTTTGTTTGTGTGTACTGTATAGTGTGTATATGCTGATCAGTATGTTGTCTGTCTGATTTAGAGATTCAGTACATGTCTTGAGTGTGGCCCTTTCCAGAAGAAATCAGCATGTGCTTAGCTGAAAAATCCTGTTTAGCATATACAAAATGTAATTATTGTTTTGAAGAATTATAATTTAAGCATAATCTGGGGAACTCATACAAGAACAGTGGAAGGACACATTCTGAAATCAGAGTATGTTCAGTGTGAATACCAAGATGAGCACAAAGCATAACAGTATGGAAACTTTTTGATGAATGGTAGCATTTTTAATATAGGTAAACAAAGCATTTTCCCTTAACCCTATTTTGGAAATATTAGAATGTATTTGAGGTAAGAACTTCCACAACTAATTAGCCAAAGACCACAATAGCCATGCTTCATACATATACTTCCACCCTGAGCCCTTAGTATGGCAGAGATTTTAATTAACAGAGAACAGTCTTACAATGAGAAATTCTGGCAACTGAAACTGCAGTTTGTGCTACCAACTCCAGCTATGACTGAAGAGGTTTTGTTTTCTGAATAGTTTCCATGATGTTGAGTTGTTTTTCTGTTCTCTTGCTGTTGTGTTTTGTTTTTTTTTTTCTTTAGTGTATTTTGACTCAACTTTTTCTTAGTATGACACCCATTTCCTGAATCTTCAGCCTCTGTGTTGATCTTTTAAGAATGTATTTTTGAATCTTGTGCTGATTGACTTATTCCAGAGGGTAGAAGAGGTAGGGTGCTGTGGCTTACTTTTAGTAGGTAACAGGATGTGGGTCTGGAGCAGGAGGCTGTATGTAGGTTTGTGAATAGGACTTAGTAGAGGGGTTTTTTTTAAAATACATGTCATCCTTCTGCTTGAGATCTATGTTATGACTTTGATTCCTTTCCAGTTTTCGCTGTATTTCTTGGTTCCTTGGATTTTATTTATATATTTATTTATTCAACATAACTGGTTCAGTGGAGTAGTATAGCCTGTCCAATGAATTTTTGTGAGACCTAGGGCCTTCCTGATTGTCAGGTTTTTGTAGTGTGTGATTTTTGCAGAGAGACTGATTTTTCTGGGTTTCATTTATTGGACACTGTTCTCTTTATATTCAGGGTCAGTTTTGATCAAAATATCCCTCCTGAAAAAGTTGTCTATTTTTTTGCTCATTTTAATTTTTGACTAGTGTGCTTAAAATATGTGGATGTGGTGTATTTGTTAAACTTCTGTGGTCATGGTATTTCTAGCTGATTTACCTGCAAATGCAGTTTGGCAAGTTACCACTTTTGGCAAAGCCAGCCATGAACTTCTAGAGAAGTGTTTTTCCCTCTTTTCATAATTCCTTCCTTGTGTATGTTCACTAGCACAGTGCTGGATTAAGAATTGGGGTGATCATCACTTACTCATTGGCTGATAAGGGCCTATGATTGTGGATGGAGAAATCAGGAGTTCAGCAGTGAGAGGGAGCCTGTTTGAAGTAGGAATCTTTTTCTTCCTCTTGCAATGGGAGAACAGCATGTTTCTGACTTGGATAGGGCATAGAAGATTTTATTTCAAAACATTGTTATTTTTAATAACTTTAAGTGTTTAAAACATTGGCTCTTTTTCTGTGCCAAAGGCTTAAAAAAGGTAAGTCTTATTTAAGGGGAAACGTAATTGGGTTTTTGGGGCAACTAAGGTGCAATTAATTCTATTAATTCAAATTACTACATTTTTTTCTTCACACTGTGATTGTATTAGCTCCTGTGATGAACTTCTTGTGACACTTCCAGACTTGCCCTGGACACCTCTACCCTAAATGCTTTTGTGAAGGTTATTGTGCTTAGCTGGCTCCATGCTCCTAAGACTTTTTTTATCCTTTCAACAAGTTACCCCTTTCCATGGCTTTCAACATAGGCTGTCTTCACTAACCTGTTCCCTGCCTTGACTTGCCCACTTGCCTGTCCCGGTGTTGGCTTGGTAGATTTTTCAACTGAGTGATGTTCTGCTTTTTCCCTATTTCTCCTTGTGCTGGGAGGTGACTTCAGAAACAAACCAGCTAGAAGGCAGCAGTGCTCCAAGCCGCCGTCTGTGTTTATGGCCAATGTATTTGTCTTGTTCCTCTCTATTCCACCACCAGTCTGTCCATCTTCTGATGTTTACTCAGGCCCTGCCACAGGGGGACTTGAAACTTGCCTTCATGTTCAAACAGATGGAGACTGGGGCTTTTGGAGACTGGGGCTTTTGGATACAAGAGTAATACAGCCCTGCATCATTCTGAAAATGAAGGGACGAACCTCTTCTAAATAGCTGGAATGACCACTCCTTTTTGATGGATTCAGGTTTTAAAGTCTCTACTGAAAGACAGTTTGAAAGCATAGATGAGGAGTAAGTTTTTGGCCTCCAGCAAGATTACTGTACCCATCAGTAGCAGAAAGATCAAATCTGTGATTATTGCTGTGTGTTGGTTTAGGAGTTTTATGTTGCTTATTTCAACTTTAGTATTTCAGTATTATCTACATAATTTTAAAGGTGGTGTTTCTCTGGGAACTGTCCTGATCACTCCTTTCTGAATAAAAGCTCTGCTTTAAGTTTTAGGGTTTTTTTTTCACTATTTTTAAGTGAAGTTTTCTTGTTTGTACATGCAGTATAGATTTTAGGAATACAATTGGGAATGCTAATGTAATGAGTATGTATTCAGAAAAATGAAAATCATATCTGAAATTAAGAAATACTGTGTAGTTTAATGCAGACATTTTTCATAGTTCATAATGATCTGTATTTAATAGTGGTGTTATTAAAAACCCATGAAGTGGTATCTATCTACTAGAGCTTATAGTGATTCCAAACTTTCAAGTGATGGTACCTTCAAAGCAAAAGTGCCAACCACAGTTTTAACAGGAACTTACAAATGTATCTTTCTACAGGATTCTGAAGTTCTTGTATTTTTTTTTCACTATATATCAGATCAGAATATTTTTAGCAGTGCTTGAAAATGCTAGGAGTTCATATGTCCAAACTCAGTGTTGTGTATTAAGAAATAAAACTGCAACTTTTTACATGACCTTTTTCTTTTTGCTTTCAAAACTGCTAAGATGCTGTGGCCTGTATGGGTGTTGGTGTCTCCACGTAGTTGTTCTAGCATGTGCTATACCATGGTCTTGTTAGGTGACATTCTGCAATCTGAGTAATTAAACCATCTTTCCTTGCTACTAATTAATTGTCTCAGTAGTTTCATACTGTTTGCCTAGTGCAACAAGTGAAGCAGGTGTGCTACTGACTGCAACTCCCCCTTTGCTACATAAACCTCATTTCTCTCCACAGCAAATCTGTTCTGTGTGCTGAGCCACTCAGTCAGAATCCTCAGTGATGATATGCAGAAAGCCAGAGAATGAAAAATTTCCTCATTTTTTGCCACTGGAACTTGAAGGGGTTTTGTCTTTTTTAGGAGTTTTCTGGGTGTGCCAAAACACCATTATGACTTGTAGTACCTACTGGTGGTCTGTCTTTTTTAGGCCATTTAAAATCACCCCTTAGAGTTTCCTATGTCTGTGTGAGTGTATCCTTAATATGTTTCTCTATGGGTTGTACACTTCAGTCTGCAAAGTGCAACTAATTTTTATTACCTTGTTGTTGTTTGACTGTACATATAAAAGGATTGGATTCTCCATATGGCTTTTTCTTGTGGACTTCTAGCTTCAAGGAAGTGAAGTAGTTCACATGCATGTGTGTTGGGTGTAGTTTTGGTCTTTGTAACAGTGTAATTAATTTTTCTGAAACCTGAAACGTAGGCCATTAAGGATTGCTACAGGCAGTCTTAGAATGTGTTCTGCACCTTCATAACACTGGAACACCTGTGGGACTTAAGCCAAACAAAACCCGTGACAAAATACTTCCATTGCTTAGATAGGAAGTCAAAATCCAAATCTAGGCTAGAAGCTTGTGTTATGCAATAGAAGAGTTTGATAATATCCATCTGAGTTGAATCCCTGATATAAGCAGTTCTTGCTAAAGCTCCTCAGGAAATACAAGCAGCAGCATGCCTAACAGCCATGCTTTTTTCCATAAATGTTGACCAAAGCTGTAGATTCATTTTCTTGTTATAGTTACACTGGGATGTTTTTACGTGTTATCTCTTCAGATCATTCACATCATGGATGTGAATCTATTTCAGGTAGTACCAGCCCTAGCTAAGGAACCAAGCATGCTTGACTCTTTTCTACTTGTCTACTCTTTTCCCCTCTTGTCTGTAACTGCCTGTCTGTGCAATTCCTCTGGCAGGATTCTGATCGGCAGCACGAGGGAGAACGCTACAGAGAGAAGCTGAAGAGCGAGAAGAAAGACAGGCACAGGAGCCGCAGCCGATCTCAAGAGAGAGACTACACTTCCAGCAGACACAGAGACAAGCACAGAGAGGACTCCCGAACAAGAGACTGGGATAGAAAAGCAGACAGAAGCAGAAGTCCTAAGAAATCAAAAGACAAAGAGAGGTCCAAGTACAGATGAAGGCTGAGGAAAAGAGATGGTAGAACTAAAATATGTTTTCTTCTAGCATTTCCAGTGTTCTCTTAAATGGATGTGCACTTACTGGTTAACAGCAGTTGCCTTCTGTTGGCAGCTTGGCCTTGTGACTGTTGGAGTAAGCCTTGATTCCAAAAAAGTTGTTTCAATAAAGTATTTCACGTTAGTGAAATAGTTTGAGTCTCCAATAAGCAGTGTTTTCTAAAGTTTCTGGAAGCATAAGCATGCACCAATAAGTGAGTTGACCTTCTCCACTGTGAAGAGATTTTGCAGGACATACCTCCATTCTACAAGGAGCTTGTATTTATCTTTCAGTGCTTTCAGATACTATGGTAGTGAGTGTGATAGAAGTCCTTGGGAGACAGAAATGTGCTGTGCACACTCCTTCCAGAAAGTGGGCAGATACCATTTGTATACGAGTACTCAAAACTCTATTTCCTTCCTTTAACATTAAGTGCTTCTAGTTGTCTTAGTCCTATCAGCTCTATTTGTTGGCACCACTGTGCAGCAGAGGTTGTAGGCACTGAAGTGCTGCTTGCAAGGGCGATGGAAGTGCTGCACCAGACAAAAAGAACAGCGCTTACTTGCTGTCCTATTTACATGGATCACCTGGTGTTGTGGCATTGCTGAAGGATGCCTCTCAAAACTGAGATTCACTTGATATTTGGCCCATCTGGCCTCTGCAGTGTCAGGGGAATCCAGCTGCTAGGATGTCAGGCAGGTTGTGTTGTGTGGGTAAGAAAGAAGAATGTAGTCACTACTTGCATTGTATTTGCCAAAGCCTAGATGCAATTAATTTTCAGGTTTCATGGCAGAAGTAGGTCAGTTAATAGCTCTTCACCTTTGGAGGAATGCAGGTTATGCTACCAGGGCCTGGGTCCTAGTGAAAGTTGGGAGCCTCCTAAATGTCTAGCTTGCTCAGATAAACAAGACCTTGCCATTTAAGCAGTGTTAGCCAGTACACATACATTTTTAAGAACATGTCTGTCTTCTTTCTCTGCAGAGGAGGAGAGATCTTGTAGTGTTTGGAGGAGAGGAGACATGGGGAATAGTATTTGTCTTTCCTTCCCTTCCATGGAATGTGTAATGGCTTGGAGGCAGTCTGCTTTGATGAATAAATCTAACTTCTTTTTTTGTGGTTGTGTTTTTTCTGCATCAGTTGCTGTAGTGTCTGATTATAACGTGTAATAAGATTTTATAGTTTGATAACCCTCACTAGAACGTGATCTGCAGGAAGGATTAAAATTCAAGGCAGCCAAGAAGAGTCATTGCAAATTACTTTGTCCTGGAGGCCCAGTAGCAGTTCCTGCTGTGTCTGGCTACTGCATTTGAATGGAGTGTGTGCAGAAACTGAACTTCTGATTAAGATACTTCTATGAAACGTTGGTACTAAGGGAACAAAAGCAGCTGTTTACCCCATGGCAGAAAACTTTGATGCAGCAGGCCAAGCCAGATGCCTAGGATATCCAGACCCAAGCTGAGCAAGGACAGTGAGGGTATTGTATACAGGAATGTGCTTTCCAGCATCATCTACCCTGTCTTTGGTTTGTTAACCACTCACTGTGTGTTTGGGTAAGCAGCTGCCTTTTGCTGATTCTCTCCTTTCTAGCTTTTGCATGCTTCAAAGCATGGAACTAGAAACCCAGTGTTTCCATAACTGTATCCTGACAAAACATCTCCAAGCTGCTGAGGACCTGTAGGGGCCTGTAAAGTCCTTGCATGCTGAGCCTGCTGTCCCAGAGGAGAAATAAACAGGAAACATGCTCTTGGGAGTCTTGTGGGGAGCTGGGGCTCAGCACTGCTCACTGTTTCTGTCAAGAAAGTTTCTGTCTTCAATCTGAGCATAAGAAGACTTCCAAAGAACTGTGCTAGACGAGGATATGATGCATTTGGGGTAGTGCTGCTGAGACAACAGGTTTTCTGCTTTGTTAAAGAAGAAAGGTTTGCACTGCCTTAAGTATCCTCAGTTCTTTTCAACTACACATTTTTGATGTGCAAAAATGGCCAAATTTGACAAGAATGTGGAGATGCAAAAGCACTTAACTTCTTGCTGGTTTTAGGAAATGGCAGTCACAGAAGGAGACAAAAAGCTTCCACTCTGAGAAAAAGCTGGATTCCTGGTGAACACCAGAGGTCCTCTTATGAGAGAGATGATACTGGTGAGTCAACCGCACAAGAGTTTCAGCAGGCTTCAGCTAGCCCCCAGCCACCTGTGGGACGCACAGACCTTGATGTTTAAAAACAAACACCCTTTTCCTGACAAATGTGCTCATTTCTCAGCAGCAGAAATGGCTTTTTTTCTCACAACTGGTAAATGCTTAAGAACAATGTTCATATGAATAATGTATAGAATTAAATAGTAAATTTGCATAGGTGGCAAATTTCAAGTCTCTGATTTTCGGTGTGCCTTAGTGCTTTTAAAATTATATCCAATATCTTCAGATGGGTGAAATTAACTGTTTATATTTTTAACCTAAAACTTTCAAACATGGCAGGTGACAAGCACAAAAGCTCCCTATTTGGAGGTAGGTACTTAATTTTAGGTACTGCTAAGTAAAACTGAATTTCTGGGCTAGTCTGCTACCACTCTGGAAGGATCACAGTTCATCTGGTACACAGGTGAAGTGCTGAGCACTCTTTCAAGTTTGGTGGGATTTACTGCTAAGGTCATTGGAAGTGATAGTTCTGTACATGTGGTTCTTCTGGAAATTACATGAATGAGCTGTATGGTCAGCTGAAACCACAAACATTTCCTGCTGTTGCTGACCTGCCAGAAGTGTTGGAGTGGACAGGACTTCTAATTATCTGGGAGTTGAAGAGTTGGCTTGTTTTATTCTAATGAGTTCACACTTCCCTATCCTCATTTTCTTTTCGTCAATCTATCTCCATCCACAGTTTCAGTATTGACCTTTGGTGCTTGTGGTAGTTAAACAAAACAGAACAAAATACCCCACCTTCCTCTATAACATGGAAAATGTCGCAGCAGAAACACTAGCTTCTTCACTAGGACTTAGCTGAGGCCTGTTTGCAGGGGAATTCATCATGCTTTAGGTTCTCTGTTCAGAGGTCAAAAGCTTAAAAATCAGCTCCTTACAGTTTTCTATTAGATTCCCTTCTCTGAAGCCATAACATGATGCAGGCTCTGTGTGCTGTTGTAGCCATGGTTATGAGGAAGTTGGAGACCTATTCTGTAGTCACACATTGCAGTTCCTTTAGTTTGCTGTAGGCTTGAGGTGGACTTGACCAAAACCATAGTATGAGTGGGGTCTGGTCTAAAAGCACTAAAGACAAGTGAGACAGGCTAGGGTCATGCAACAAAGATCTCTCTTCCATCCCATGGACATCACACAAGCCAGTAGAATGAGTGTGACGTGTTAAGCAGTTACCCCAGAACGTTTCTGATAACCCTCTGTTCATCCTGGTGTGTGCTCTGCCGTGCTGGTGGCTTCCTGCTTTCCTTTTCTCAAAGATGATTAGTGTGTTTATGAAACTCCTTGAGCATAACTTCAGGCTGTACTTGGTGGGTTAGGGAGCTGGTGACATAAGCATTCTTCATCAAAATCCCGTTTTGGCACAATACCTCAGTGTGTTTGCTCTTCCTTTGGGATGTGTGCTGGAAGAGTTGTTCTGTGTAGTCCCATGCATGGATGGAACAGCGTGCCATGTGTCCTTTGTTCTGGGCTGCCAAGATTCTTTACTCTCTGTAAGTAAAACTGTACCTGCTTCCTTCCACTTCTCTATGAAACCCACCCCCCCATCCAAATAAACAAAAACAACAACAAAAAAAGCATGGCCCTCCCTGCTAGTTATTTGAACAGCATTTTTAATGGTACATTTAAGAAGCTGCGTTCAAAAGTTTCTAGAAGTTCAGAAGCATTTTTCAGTCTGTTGCTGCTCTAATCATTGTTCATCTCACCCTCCTATAGCCTGCACTTTTTTTGTATAAATCTTGACAACAGGATTGCAGGTTTTGCTATTGAGCTTCCTAGAGCATGGATAATGCTAGTGCCTGTACTATCTATAAGAATAGCATAAGCAATTTAAAAATTTGAAAAATGTCAAATTATGCTAAGAATTATGTAAAAACTAGCTACAGGGCAGTATTTTTGTGTAAAACTATTAGTCTGGTTGCTGACAGGTTTTTTCCTGGTGAGCAAGTCAGTAGCATCTCAGTTAAATGCAGAAGCTGTGCTAAAGGCAGCAGTAAACCATGCTAAGGTGAAGGTCTTCCAAGCACACGATAAACCATCAAAGCTTAGATATGCTTCCAAGTGCTTTCTGAACTCTGAAGCTGAACAGCAGTAGACTTTTGAACTTGAAAGTTGTTTGGGACTTTCTGCTTGTAAAAGGTACTTTTTATTATAAGCCCAATGGAGAACACTTGAGTAATAGCAGTATCTTTTTATATAAAAGGCAGAGGGGAAAATAAATAATTATATATATATATATTTTAGGCAAAAAACGAACATCAAATAATGAGATGGGACTGTAATTTTCCAGGAAGCAAAAGAAGTTACCATTGTCTGTACTATTGAATTCAGTTCTTCTCTGTTCTCCCTGTTCTGTGGTCAGATGGAGTGCTCACTACTGGGACATAGTTTTGGGGAGGGAGGAAAGGTGGTCATTCTGGGTAGCATGTAAAAATATTTCTTCTAAACATACTGGCTCTTTACCATCCTGAATATGGGGTTGCTCATCAGTAACTGATTTGGCACTCTAGCAGGACCTACTAACCCCTTTTTTTTGGTGAACACCTGTCTCCAAGTCAAAATTTCTAGTGTCGCCAACAGAGAGAGAATTTCCCTGGCAAGGAACATCTATACTTTGCCTTATAGTGTGTCACAGCTTGTACTGTGCAACTGTCACTTGTTCTCCATGAACCAGGAGACTGAATTGAGGCAGTATGGCTTGAGGGTCTGACCCCAACCCTGTAGCAGGCAGTAGGGAGACACTCATTCAAGGCAGGATAGGGAATGTATTAGTTC